ACATAGAGACTTTGTGGGGGGTCTTGACCCACCCGCCCTCCTGGATGAGGGGTCAAGAGCTGGAACCTCTTTAGACATCCCTTCATGGAAGAGGGGGATTCGCACCTTGCCTCCACCAGCAGGAATTGTTGTCCAAAGGATCTTGTGGTGTCCAAACTTGCAGTTGTCGTTCTTTTCGTCTTAGTTGAGGTTTATTCTGGAAGGATCTCAGGTCTCTCACCAATGCACGTAATTAATAATGTCTTCCGCTCAGTTCAAAGCCCAACCTCAGCCAAGGCGGGGAATGCGTCCTTCACCGCCATATGGCGGTCCACCTCAGCAAGAGGGTGGAAATCACCAAAACGTTCACAGGTGCCCCCTGGTGTCTCGTCATAGCTTTGAAGTATGAAAGCGTTTTGTCAAACAACCTGCTTTTCTTTGGAGACTTCCGTTTACGACCACGACGACTGCTGCTGCTACTGCTGCTACTACCCGGAGGCGGGACCGGCCCGCGAGGTTGGGCACGTGCCGTCTGACAACGTGTCGTCTGCAACGACAGAGGCGCTAGAAGACGAGAGAGTTGAGGCGCCCCGGCCAGGCGTAGGGACCTGAGGAGGACTTCGGCCGGTTGCACGGCGACATGACACTTCGGTGGTTCCCCCATCCAAGAAGTCGGTGTTCTCGAGAGTCCCATGGTGCAGGATGCTGTCTATGGCAGATCCAGGCTAGCCATGACAAGGGCTTTAAGGATTTAGTTGATGGGGGTTCAAGCTGGAGCAAAAACACATTTATAAAAAAAACACATGATCCTGCCACCTGTGGAATTCTAGACCTCAATCCAATTTTTGTGAGGGCCCCCCCGCCAAGTGCAGCACTGCAAAAGAACAGGAAAAATAAAAGGAAAGGTAAGGGTCGAGGTGTTCTCCGGCAGTTCCACTACTTCAACGAATCAGTTCCCCTCACCTAAATTCCCTCCAAGCATTTGCATCAGGGACATCCAGGAACGCTGCAACCCTTGTCGCATACTCTTCCAACAGTTATGACCAAGCGCCACGTTTGGGTTGCCGCGACAACAAACAGCCGCCACGCCGCGCCTCGGCTGCTTTCGAAGAGTGCACTCCAGCAGCGCCAAGGTTGCCGGGACTCCCTCGTGGCCCTGGGCCGAGCTCAAACTCAATGCGACGAAACCGCTAAGACTCCACTAAGACTGAAAGGGACGTTCCATGCAGGGCGGTCACTGGGATTTGCCGGGGCATTTGACATGAGAAAGAATCTGGGAAAACTACAAAAAAAAATCAACCCCCCCAAAAAACGAGAATTGAGGCTCCACTTCTTCCATCTACCCACCCAAACCACCCGAATCCTCCCCCCCCGCACCACCAAACCCAAAAACCGTCCATGTTTGGATCGGACCGGACCGCCCAACGGCGCGCCCGAAGGGGGCGCCTCTTCGAGCCACGAGGTCACCAACTCTTCGACCATGGCCACCACGCCAGGGGCCTCCGCGGATCGCGGGCGGAGCGCGGGACGCGAAGACTCCGCGTGCGGGGTTCCGCTGTTCGATTGACCGTCGGTTCGTGAGGGATGAGGGATGAAGGGGGGTTTCAAAACGAGAAAACCTGAAAGGAAAAGAGGCCGGGCGGTTTTTCCTCATGATCAAAAAAGAGCGGATTTATCGCGCACCAAGTCGCACTCAACAAGCTTCGGCGGTCATCCCCAGAGGAGAATAAAAAGACCGGCGCAGCTCAATTAGAAGAAGGAAATCAAAACCTCTAAGAGCTTTCACCGTGCCGCAGCTTGCAACCAGAAAAACCCTCCGCCTGGACCCAGTCCAGCTCCAACATGAGCTGCAGTAGATGTAGCAACCTTGGAGGCGGCGTGTCCACCAGCAAGAGCTCCTGCCATGCGGCGCTGGTCAGCAACCAGCGACCGTCATGACTCCAAAAGGAGCATGCACAGTTGGCCATGACATTACATAACTCACAACAAGAATCAAAACTGCGCCGCGTGATCCAAAACTGCAATTTTTCAGCACCTCTTTAGAAGGAAAGCCCCGGCATCTGCGGTGCTTTAGTCATCGCCACCCACTCCTCCGCCAGGCACGTGGCCAACGTGGGCCCCAAACTCCGCCACGTCTGCTCGTCGCAGGCGCCGGTCAGCACCCCCACGAGCTCTGCCAGGCTGCAAGACCTGGCGGGGCGTCTGTCTCACGTCAAGGATCTCCATCTGACTAAATGGGCAATGGGTGTGCATTAAAACGACCTCCCAGGCAGAAGGGAAACAAACCCAGCACCATCTCTGACCCCCAAGCACCGTCCCATTCAACCAGGCGACGGCTCGTGCAATGCCAGCTGAACGACCGCGGCGCGGAGCGCTGGGGCGCTAGCTGTGGGGTCAGAGCCCTCAGTGTGCAACATGCGTGGTGAGCTGAAGGGGTGAGGGTGGGAGGTCACAAATGGAAGGCAGAAACATGGGAAAACTGATGAAAACCATTGAAGCTAAGGCTAAGGGTGGTTGAAGACTCCGGGAACCTTCTGGAGCTTCGTTGAGAAATGTCTTCGTTCCTTGTGCCCCAGAGAGTTGACCAAATGGAACCGTCTTTGGAGGGTCCATGCATATCAGAAAGAGGTCTCTTTCACATTCCGACAAACACATCACATGGAAGTGGAAAAACTAGTGTGAAGAGGAAAGTACATGGCCAAGGGATCATTTTCCACTTCCATGTTAGTGACTGTTAGTGAGTCAGGGTGTGGATATGTTGAAGCTTCCCTTCCTCACCCAATCAGCAGCACCCTGCAATGGTGGATGATGCCCAATGCAAGCCTCTGCTAAAGCAAAGGGCACTTATAGGACTAGCACGTTTGTGGTTTTCCAGCAGCTACCAACTCTCTCGAGCCCTTCGACCTGGACATTGAATTGACCTGCTTCAACCGGCATCTGCCAGCCCCACTTCTATCACGACTTCGGTTCGTTTCCGGAGCTGCTCGTTCCATTTTGTGGCCGTTCCGGGTTTGGAACCGTCGTGCAGGTCAACTGGAGCCGACAGTTCAACGCGCTCAACCTCTCCAATTCGCATGATCAGTGGCAACAAGGTTTTATGAACATCCATGGTTTTCTGTCTCCTTTCATCCCATCGACCACGGAGGGTTGGATGGACGGTTGAACAGAGTCTAGCTGTCTCACAGCTGTTCCGCAGCTGCACACACTCGGAATACGTGAAAGGCACTGGGCTCCAGCCACCTCACTCTCCAAACCCCCAAGAAAAAGGACCGTCCTTAGCTACTAGTAGCTTCCTGCTACTAGTGCTACTATAGTAGCTACTAGTAACTACTGCTTCCCCCCTTGCTCCCTTTGGCTCCACGCACCGAGCCGCCAGCAGCGCTCGCAGCTCCCGGTCCGTGGTCCGCGACGACGCATGCGCGCCGTGCGCGGCACAGCGGAGGAGCACGTCCTGCAAGGCCTCCTGCGCCGGTGAAGGGGATGACGGAGGGCCTGGCCTAAGAAAGACTAACGGCTAACCCCTGAAGTAATCCGCATGACTCACTTGATGTCCCAATGGTGGTGGTGGATTATGACTTTCAGGTGTCAAAATGCAAGTTCCGAACTGAGGGTCCCAAAGCACGCAGACAGGTGACAGGATCCCTTTCTGAAAGCGCCACAACTCCCGACCAAGCCCACGGCGTGCCACGGCATCCGGTCTCGTCAGACTCCCGGTCTCATTCGCTTTTGGTCCCTCCCTCCCTCCGCAGGTGCGAGGGAGGCGGCGGCGGCCGGAGCGTCCTGCAAGGAGGGCCCCACGCGCTTGGACTCCATGGCACCGAGCCGGGCTCGGACCCATGGACCATCGCTTCAGAGACGTCGCGAAGTGAAGCAGGACGTGAAGTGGTCCGTCATGGTGGGTGAAGTGGTCCGTCATGGTGCTGGAAGGTGGGTCATGGATGAAGACGTGACTGCACGTCTTCGTTCTGTCATTGACACTTCAAGACACTGAAAGATCACCTTAGGGGGGGGAGTGAATCTGCCACCCAAAAAAACCTTCCAAAACACCTGATCCCCATCGGATCAGGATTTCTGGATGAGGTGTCTGAGAACCGGGTTGATGGTGTAAGTCTCAAACTGATAGCTGTCTTTGGGGACGGTCTGCCCTGACCTTCTGCACGCAAGGATTGCAAAATGTCCTGCGTTCTATGGAACCTGCACCCCATTCAACCAAGTGGGGTCTATACAGGGTTTGGTCGAAAAGGATCTTTGAGGCTTTGGCACAGCTGCATCATGCCACATCCATCTCATACCATGCAACTTCTGAGAGCCCAATATGGCTTGCAAGTAGGAATTCGGAAGAACAAACAAAAGAAGCGGTTGCTCCGACAGCTGACCCTCTAACCCCAGATGGTGGATCCACCTCTTCATACATGTAGCCATGTAACCTACAAACAAGTCTAGCTCTCCGGGGCGACCCGGGAGAACCAGTTGAGCCTCTGAGTCCCGAGCTCGGGGCCTTCAGACCCTTCTCCTGGCGGAAGAAGCAGGACTTTCGAGCCAATCAACTCCAAATCATGTCAGATCTCCAGTAAATCCGAGCCAGGTCCAATCAAACCGGGTCCCGAAAACCGGAACATGGAGCCGCATCATTTTCGCGCGATCAACTACAGTGAGGTCAGTTCCTGACCTTTTTAGGGAATCCTCTGGAGTTGCATTGCATGAGCTCTCGAGAAATCCTCCGGCCGGTCGTGGCTTCGTGACACGGACGGGCACCGCTCAGTGAAGGCGTGGTTCGAGACCAGACATGACACACTCTCACTGAAATGATTGATGGTTACGTGGACGGCATGGCCCCAAGCCAGTCCACTAGGAGGACCATGTTCCGAAGAATTCTTAAGGATACTCAAGGAGTGCACATCTCATCTCATCGAGCCCAACAAATATCTCTCTCTCCCCTCCGTGGCTCGGTCGAAACGAATGTCCTCGATCCCAGCGACGCGTCATCTTCAACGTCCAGGTCTCATGTGCCCCGCTCGGTCTCGTCGGCTCGCCCACTTCGCCTCGTCCGGCAACTCCCCTGGGTAGCTGAAGGCACCTTGAGGCAACCCCCTTGACCCAGAGCTTTCCCACAGTGACCACATGGATAGTGCCCAGCCCTGACCCCCAGTTAGTGCCCCTGTAGTCCATAGTCCACTGCCAGGTCGTTAGGTTCTTCAGTTTGAGGAGGGCCAATTCAGAGGATCCACCCGCTCAAACACGTGAACTTCGACCGCTCCGGGCTCCGGGGTCCACACCAAAGGGAGCGGAGAGCGGCCAACGGAGCAGCCACTCCACGGCCGGCATGAAGGTGGGAACCTCAACGCACCACTTGGGCGTTAGCGTGCAGAAAGAGGAGTGAAGGTTCTATACTTGCAATCTCAAAAAAACGAAGGTGCACCGTCCAAAACCCAAACCAAGTGGTGCATGTAGATTGTAGATCAAAGGCCTTCAAGCATCCCTGAAACCTTTCTGGGACATCCCCACTCTTGTTGCACCTGGAAGACCAGGCAGCAACGCCACGGTGAGTTCACGGTAAAAAAATACACAACGCGGCTTCACCTGCATGCGGTAGAGTTCGATGAAGCTTCGCTGATGGATGTCCTTGGCCCATTCGACCAGGTCGCTTCGGCTGAATGAAACGGGGGCGACGGCTTGAGCACCTGGCGCCCACACAGCCAACATCTCCACCACCTCCACCGTGGGTTTGGCCTTTCGTGCTCCACCTCCGGGCGCTCCTGACACCCTACATCCATCACCCTCAGCCCACGTGAAGCTGGGCCAAAGAGATGGCCGAACGGGCCCGAAGAGACTCCGATTGGCCAGATCGAGCTGGAAAGTTAAGCTGGCAAGTTAGGCGCAACTGAAGAAGGGATAAAGACCATCCCCTAAAAGTCAAAGACCATCAAGAGGCTTGTTTTTTTTGGGTCACCCGAAGAAGAATTTCTGCACCACTTCGGTGGTGCCTAATATTTAGTTCAATCTGGACTTCTGCGGGCGTAGTTTGGTAATTATATACATATATACATGGCTGTGAATCTGGTCAACTCTGGATTCTGCCAACCCCACTAACAGCCGAGCATCCGAGGGTACGAAGAAGGCGGCGGAGCAGCGTGACATCTCCTCCAGCGGATCTAGTTCGTTCACCCCCTGGCAAGACCCCGGAAGAAGAGGGCACCAATAGCTCATCCCAAGTCCAAATAACAGGTGGAGCGCAACTGTCACCAGGCCTGACTGTTGAGATCATTCACTCTCAAATCCTACAGGAGGTTCGCACACTGCACCAGGGCCGGCCATCTGTGACAGGAACCAACTAATCATGAGACCGCATTCTCCAATTCAATCCGAACAAAACCCCTAAGGGCGGCACAAAGAGCTTGCTAAGACACTGTCAGATGGATTGCTTTAAAGAACACACCCCCACCACTTGACATGCTTTTGCTGGACGCCATGACGAAAAATCGAGAGCCTGCATGCGGGCGTCGATGCCTTCGTCCGGCCCGACCAGCACCTCCCAGCTCTTCCAGTTCTCATTCCCTTCCTGCGCGCCAACGTGGGGAAGCCAAGGGCCCGGCCGAAGACTGGAAGCGAAGCCACAAGCCATGGTGGGAAGCCATGGTCGGTGGGAAGCCATGGTCCCATGGGGTCAGTGGACTTGAACCACTCTGACCGCCTTCTCGGGTGCTTCGCGATCCCGGCGGCGGCCACGATCGCCGGGCGCCCCTCTTGCTTTGGGCGTTAACTTCTCATCTTTGGGATCGGTCACCTCGGGTACCCGTCACTGGGAGATAGTCTAGTTCGGGTTCTTCCACCTGCTGGGGAGGTTGGAGGTCTCCACGGACCTGTCTGGCACACCTCCCGCACCTCCCGTGGGGGGGCACCTCCGTGGGCACCTCTGAGAACCAAAAGTGGCCGCCTCGGTGAGGCCACCGAGGCGGAAGTGGCCGGATGTGGCCGGATGGGCCTTGCTTCGAACACCCAGGGGACGGGTTTTTTGGGCTGGAAACGGCCCATTGCCGTTGGCTTCATGGGATCTGTTGGAAGAACCAAGAACATCCAAGAACCACGCTGGGTGTGAAATGTTCACGGGGAGAACCCCAACCACTAGGTTCAATTGGCCGGTGTGAAACAAACCAATGCACGTCTTCGCACGCACAAATCTTCAGACGGGAGTCGACTCCCGTCTTTGATCGACCGAGTCAGACCAGTCATCGCTGGAGGGGACCCGTGCGAGCATCGGCCAGCGGCTGGTTGATGATGGCGAACTCTTGCAGCAAAGATCGGAGGAAGATCCCTCGCGATCGAGCCGAGCGGCGCGGGGGGCTGGCACTGGGACGCGACGAAGCGAGCGAGCGCCGCGGGTGGCGACTGGCGGAGAAGCTGGTGGCACTGCAAAAAGAGATCCTTGAGGGTGAAATCATGAATTGGATAGTCCAAGTGAATGAACTAGCAGGTGAGCTAGTTTACGAACTAGACCGGGATGCTTCTGGGATGCAAAGCTATTGAACAAGCTAGTGAGTAGTGGATGTCTCTGATGCATCTCTGCACCTCGGGCTGCCGCAACTCGTGCGATGTGCCTGTGGGGTGGTTGAAGATCCGCGCGCGGGTGACCAAGACCGTGGGCAGCCGCTCTGCCACGTTCAGGTAGCCTGGAGAGAGAATGCGTCCAGTGGTGGCAAATTCTTCACGTTCAGTACAGCTTTTCTGCGAGGTTGGGTCCTCAGTAGGGAAGACTCCAAGAAAAAAATAGCTCTCCCCACGATCCGACCACGGGGCCCATGTGCCACCGGTTCCGCCTGTGGTGTCCAGGTAAAGCGCCAGCGCCGGGCAGCTAGGGACTTGGAGCCCCAGTTGCTGCCCCAATTGCGCTGAGAGCACTGCACCCTGGCACATTGGACAACTACTTCGCTGTGCAAGTGACGAAACATAGTTGACCACTTCCAACATGTGAGGTTTCCTTTCACACCCTTGACTCTTCCAAACCCCAAACAAAAGAAGGAAAGAAACATGATCAACTGTTCCTCCCATTCTGCCATCTTTCCTCTCCAACCCCCACAGCTCTTCATTTTTCACCTGGCCCCACAAGCCGAAGCCGAAGGACCTCGGTGAGCGCCACCAAGGGCAAGGGGCCACCCATCAAGTCCCTGGCACGTCGCACGCGAGGCTCAAGGCGCCGGTCTGGCTGGTCGAACGTGATGGACATAAACGGGAACCAGGACCACCGCGGACTCATGGAAAAACAATAATAGAGGCAATAGGAGCCTTTTTTCGGGCTACTTGTGGACCAAAAATGAAGCAAACATGTTTTTGTTCAGGTTGGACTTTAGGCCTCGACTGGGAAGGTTCCTGTGCCTCGGCCCCCTTCGGGCCATCCACCAAAGAGAACCGAAGAGAACCACACAAGCACTCTGTGAGGGCGCCTGGCGAACCGCAAGAAGTTCATGGCAGGGGCTGGAGCGCCATACAGGAGCCTTGGAAATGGCCATGTCGTGTTAACAGTAAACACAACTTGGCACATGGAACCAATCAATAACCTCTTAGGAAGCTGCTGGAGCTTCGTGTCTCTCCAGCCCCGTGACATTGAGATCCTTTTTGGAGCTGAGTCCGTTCAGTTCAGGGTCTCCGAGTCATGTGGAGGACCATGCTGGCTGGTGGGGGCCATGCTGGCTGTGCCCTCGCTTGAGCAGCTTGAACCGCCCCATGGCACTGTAGGCAACTCCAATTGCAATACAAAACGCGTGGAGGAGAGGTGCAGCAGCATGGGCAGCGGACCTGGCTGCGAAGCTTCCCCCTCGCGCCTCTTGGACGACCTTTGCTGTGATGCATGGACGACCGGGATGAGGCCGTAGTCAACCCCAAATTATTGCCAGATATGTGTCTTAATCATAGGCGTTTTGGATGGCCCGGTCCGTATAGTATCGGAAGATGGTCGAACTTTGAAGGTGTATCGTCATTGATGCAGATGCTGAACACAAACCATCGAAAACCAACAGGATCTTGGTGAAGCTTCGTGCTTGGCTCGTGAACCTGCAGGCTGTCTCTTCCTCGCTGTCACCCATTCCCTCAGTCCACATGAGTAATGGCTCAACATGCGCCAGCGTCACGGAGCTCGCCCGAAAACCTGAGAGCCGTCGCTCAGTGAATCAGCGAAGCAAGTGAACGAGCGACGCACGGACGAAGGAAACCGCTGACGCGTGTGCAGAAGCCACAAGAAGTCGAGACTTCTCCCAATTTGTGGGTTGTTTCATCGAAAACGCATCGTCTCCCAATTTGTGGGTTGTTTCATCGAAAACGCATCGTCTAATTTCTGGGGTCGTCCCCACTTCGCCTTCCTCTCCAGGATGTTGGAAAACTGAGCCATTCGGACGCCGCACAGACTGGGCCGAACCCGCCCGAAGGCCCAGAAGGAGAGCAAGCACAGCGCGGCTGGATGAGCACAGACCACCAAGTCGCAGTCGCTCTGGAGCGGCCTGGCGTTGCTCCGAAAAAGGACAGCCTAGCAGCTAGCAGGGATTGGGGATCGGTTCTGAAAGGGGTGGTGGTGGGGTCAAAACTACGGCCCCCGCGCCTGGGGCGTGAATCAAAGACTTGAACTTGGAATGTGTGAAAATAGGTCTTTGACACGTCCCAATCAAGGTCTTTCTCTCTCCCGTCTTCCCATTTTTTCCCCAGAACTTGGGTTTGCGCCGTCTTCTCTCCGACCCACACCTGCCGGGTAGATTCTTCAGTGCCGCGATCAGAGACCATGTCGGCACATCCTCTGCGAGCCAACGTCCCGATGCCACGAGTTCCCAAAATCTAAGCCCACCGGCTGAGGGACGCTCCAGTGCTTTCAGAGGTAGGTGTATATGGACCAACATCTTCGGGGGTTGTGCCATCTACTCCCTGAGACCACTCCGACAATCTCCAATACACCGTTCACCCGCCACATTTGGCCCCGATCTGCCCTACGACCAAACCGTGTTTCAGCTGAACTCACCGCTCCGAACACCGCTCCAACCCTCCAAACGGGGGCTGTCCGTTCGCCAGTCCTGTCCAGATCCGCTCCAGAAGTCTGGCAATTCATAAGCCCCTCCCGCGGCACGACGCACGCAGCACCGCGTGGTGCGTCGCATGCGATCTGCGGGTGCTCCGCCCCCAAAGTCGGCCACGCTGGGAAAACGAGCTGCCAAACTCAACACACGTGTCTCCCAAAACTGACAGACCTGGGAAGGACCCAAGGATGGATGGTTCAATCAGCATCAGGTATAAGTTATAAGTTATAAGACTCTTATAAGATGGCAGCTGTCCAACAAAGAAGGGGGCACGCCTGCGTTGGCGTGCCCAAAAGAAGGAGAAGAACAAGAAAAAAAAGACACATCCGAAGACTAACTTTGCCTGAGACTGCTAAAACCAATATAACACAACGGCTCTTTTGTTTCATGATCCGCTTCGACGAAGCGGTCCAATCCGCAGTCCAATCCCCAGAATGTCAACGATCTACCTTGCGACACGTCCGTTCTGACCGTTGGAAAACACCCGGAGAAGAAGGAACACCACCTCGATCCGTCCGAGTTCTCCTTATTGGTTTGGGCTCCACACCGGACCCGCCTCCCCGACCCGCCTCCTCCGAAGACGTAGCGTTCGATCCACTCCGCCAGCGGGTCGCCGTTCGCGCCGTTTCCCGCACAGGGCTCGCCCAAGACCTGCAGCGCAGGGCCGCGCGACGTCGCGCTTCTAGCCCCGGTGCAAAGAAGAGGTGGCCCTAGTTGGCCTAGCTAGCATGGAAGCCCAAGTGAGAAAGAGATAGGAAAACCTAGCTATTCTACCCCCGCGCTCTCGGATCCAAAAAAAATCAGTCCAGCTGCCTGAAAACCCTTGGCCCATCAGTGGCTTGACGTCGCACATCGTCGCACCGCGCCATCATTTATCTTCGCCAATGGTCAGGGAAACCGTGCCCCTTTCAGCGCGCTTTGCGCTTCAGCGGCAGCTTTCTGCCATCAGCGGCTAGAGTCCGACACATCAACCCGCAAGAAAGGCAACGGATTTGGCCGAACGCTGGAGTCATTCATTTTGTCGGGACTGCCCCGTCTTTGGCGTCTGGATCGGCCCGGGACTCATTGATCTAACCACAAACCGGCAGTGATATCTGCAGATTTCGGCCCGTTTAAGAATAAGACAGTGGTAGGGGAGGACAAGTGCCCAAAACCTTTGCCCCGTTGAGACGACTTTGGGGGCGACAGACTTGAAGAAGGGCTCTTGGCTCTTCTTATTCACTCATCTGCTTGAGGGATCTAGCAGAATGCGAATCCCATTGACCCCAAAAAGACACCTTTCAGTGTGGAAAACGCATGAAATGCTGATCGGTTCCAAATCCTAAAGGAAGAATAAATCAAACTTCAATCACTCACTGGCCCTTGCCTTTCTCCGAGGTCTGTTTTCAGCTGACGACAAACCATTGAAGGACAAACCTCCAATAGGGCCTGGAAAGAAGAAACAACAATAACAATTGTAAGGAACTGGGACATTCGATTCAAGCACGGTGCATCTAAGTGGGTGTGGTTTGATGTCTTCCTTCCAGCTCTGCTTGAGATTCCGCTTGAGGTCGGAATTCTTTCTCCTTGTCCTCGTCTTCGCGGATCGTCTGCGGTCACCGGTGGGAACTGGGCTGGTGCGAGCTGGCCCGTCCGTTTGGGAGGAGCCAAATCCACCAAATCCTATCCGCTCTCTATAACTCTATAGTCTATATATCAGGTCTGCCAAAATTCCTGTTGAGGCCCTAAAAATCCTGGGCGGACCAGCCACCATGGGTCACCAGCCGACTTCCCATGAGATGAAATCTGCGGTTCTTCTAGATGGGGAGAAAACCCTCGCATCGCACCGTCGCACCGTCGCAGCGACGTTCCAAATCCATCACTCCAAAGGCACTCGTTCCGTCGCTCGTTCTGCCAGGCAGAACCTCAGAGCGCCCGGTAGCTCTCCGGCGTGGAGTCGGCCTGCGCCCGCGCGGTCCACCACGCGTGGCACAGGCGGAGGCCGCTGGCAGCTGCAACTGCGCAGGAAACCAAGGCGGCCAAGAGAGGCCAAGCTGAGCCTCGGGGAGAGGCTGCTGCTTTCGCAAGGCTCCACGAAATGATTGATGTGATTGTTGGCCCGGCACCCCAGCTGAATCACGTTTGATAGCTGATGATTGGCCATGGCAATGGCTGGCCATTGCCATTCGCAAGACCGTGGGGCTCGCGGTTTGGTGGGCCAGTCGTGACTAGCAGCAAACGAGTCTAAGAGAGTTACTGAAAAGGATTATGTGGGTTTTCTCCCGAAATATGGTACCAGTATCTTCGCCCCGCCCCGCAGGAAGAGCCGTTTCTCAAGGGTGCATGTTCCTGCCCCAGCGGTTCGATGTGGTTCGTGGTGGTCCGTTAAGGCTGCATCAAGGCGTTTCTGCAGGCCTGTCTGAGGCGTTGAAATATGTTTAGTGCCCCTCCCAAGAATAAGATCAAATACATAAGCGATTCTAAGTGCATGTGCTTCGAAGGAACTCTGGTGGCCTAGTGCGCCCCGTGCCTTCCCCCGCGCCGGCCTTGGTCATGGAAGCCCCACACCGCCTCTGCCGCGGCCGCCTCACGCGGTGGCGCGAGATACACGGCAGGGCCCAGGGGGTCGAAGACGGTGTAGACCTTTTGCAGGAAGACCTGGCCCAAGATCCTCAGCGACCAATCCGAGCCAACAAAGCCACCCTCATCCCCAGCCACCCCCTCGACGTGCGAACTCCAAAAGGGACCCCCGTTTCTGGCACACGGGACGGGAAGTCGTCAATTGGTGGGCCAAAGTTGAAGTTCACCCACCTCTTGGCAAGTGCCACGGGAGACGCTTCAATCTGCCAAAAAAACAGGGCCCTGGAGGTGAAGAAGAAGGTTCCACGCCTTCTGATAAAGGGGCTTCGCTTTGTTGTGCTCACCTTCGGCGCCCCATCTGGGTGGCCCCGACAGCAGCGGCAGGCCCTTCACGGCCGGCGGCATCGGCATGAGATTCAAGCGGCAGGCACCCTGTCGAGCAAAAGGCGTGTGATGCACAGGGAGGTGAGCTATGGTGAGGTCCTTTCCTGCAAACCCAAGTTGACAGGCCCATCTGCCCCCTCCACCTGCACAAGGATGTTTACGTCCCAGAATGCAGATATGTGGATCGGATGAGGTCTTAAGCCCAGCAAAGCTCACAGCAGTTCGTCCCTCTGAGGGACTTCTTCGGTCCGGCCTCGGCCACGGGCACCAGCAGCTCGTCCTGGCGGCGCACAACGGAGCCGGTCGGAAGCGTGCGGACGACCGTCGTTCCCGCCTTCGGGGGGAGGAGGTCTCATCTCTATCAAGGGAGATCACGGAAAACACCAGACATCCAACCAACACCAGAGTTCTTCCAACAGAGGAAGAAGCGACCTGAACTAGGACCCGTCACCGAGGTGGTACCATATATGGGATAGTCTAGCTATTCTAGTTCGGGTTCTTTGGCAGTTGAGGCAAAAAACTTTGGCAGAACTGTTTTGTGGGAGCATTCGTCGATTCGTGGTCTCCACCAAGCCAACGGACCAGACAACGGACCCCTCTGACAAAGAAAAATTTGCTGGCCCTCTGACAAACCCGTTTTCCTCATTTTCCTCGGGGTTGAGCTCCTGCTAAAGCTGAATTCATTTCACGGCAGGCACTGGCACTACTTCCTCAGGTTGGGATTTGAAAATAAATAAGAGCGCTCCATTGCCATCTGTTCATTCTGTTCTCTACATTTCTGCACCCTCTTCTTGATAGAAATGTTGGCCCGCACGTGTCCAACTCACAGCCCACAAGAGCTGCAAGCGCTCGCAGCTCGCGCTCGCAGGCGCTCGCGACCGCTCCTTGGTGAACTTCACCCGCAGCTCCCCGAAGGTGAACCACAAGTCCTGCAGCTCCTCGGTCGACCCCAGGAAAAGCGATCTCGCAGGGAGCCGGGCCGACCCATTCCGCACCCATCCTGGTTCATGTGAAAGGCGGCTAAGTACGCTCAGTGACTCAGTGAGATGCCGCGTAGGGAACACATCCACATCTGTTCCATTCCCTTCTTCCCAACCGGACACCGCGAAACGGCCCGGCGGCCCTCTTGAGAAGCCGCGGAGAAAGCCCACCGAGGCTCTTGGTTGCACATGCAGAGGATGGAGATGTCAAACTGGCAGCCTTGACCAACGGAATGATCTTCGTCACGCCGTCGCCGTCGACCGGCGGAAGGACGTACGAAACATCGACCGGCCGTTCGAGGGTTCGGAGCAGTGGACTCGTGGGTGCGAGCCAGCGCTTTGGCAGCGCGAGTCGAACGTCGACCCCAACACAAGTGCCTGGCTAAGCATCGGATGGCCTGCGACAACTGGGGATGTTCAGTCTGTGGTCGTGCCTTGCGATCACCGTTTTCTTCCACAACAACCCTCCGAGCCGACGAGCCTCCCCTATCTATAACCCCTCCCTTCCCCGGGTCCCGGTCCCCGACCCTCCACTGCGCCCAGGCGACGAAAGGGCGGCTTCAGCAGATGCGTCAGCACCGCCAGGAAGAGCTGATCGGGCATCACCAGCAAGGTGCTCCCCGAGTCCAGCGCGCCAAAGCCTCGTCGGCGTTGTGGGGGGGACCCGTCGGGGTCGGCGCCGGCCCGTGGGAACGGTGTCCCCGTGGGAGAGGGGAAGCGTGGTTGGGAAGTCGGTTGGGCAAAAAAAAACCACGTTCTCTATAGCCCCTTAAGAAGAACAAAAAGGGAATCAAAGAACCACTCACCGTGTTGAACCACTCGACTGCCTCGACCTTGGGCCGAGAGCGCCTTGGGCCGCGAGAAGTGTAGTGCCATGGGCATCGCTGATGTTGAGGCCCATGGCCACAGTCCACATGGTCAAGCCAGCGCTCGTGGGAAACCTCGGGTCGAAGGTCCGAAGACCGGAAAGGGGAAAGCCCAGGTGTTGAGGGCTCTTTCGGCATGCCTTGTTCTGGGACTCCATGTGGGTGTTGACAGAAATACTGGCGTGCTTGGACTTGGGGAACCATATTATATATATATATATACCTATAGAACCGATTTGACCTCTGTTTTGATAGGAAAAGACTTTTTTTGAGTGGTTGGTGGTCCAAAATAGAGGTCATTCAGGTTCTAGGTATATATATATATATATCTCTGTGTGTGGGGGCCCGTTTTCCGGGCCCGCTGGTGTTTCTGTCCACCATTTGGTGGAACATTCTTGGTTGGATATTCTACCCACAACCATCACATCACCCAAGTAAGATACCCCTTGCACTGACTGGAGGAAGCAGCGTAAAAGACCCCTCTCTGGGAAACCCATTTTGCTTGACCAGCCTGTCTGGCGGTTCTTATTTATCCTTGCCGGCCAGGAGTGCATGGACATCACCCAACTCACACGAATCTGAAAGCAAAATCCCTCTGCAAAAATGAAGGTGAATACAAACACATATCACATATCACCTATCACATACAGTATCCCTCTCTCTCTCTCTCTTCTTTAAGGGACCCACCCATCTATGCCATCCAGCATCACCCAGTCTGGTGCTCACCCAGCGGCACGGGCAGACGGTGCGCCTGTTCCAGGCCCTTCAGCAGCTCGCGGCGAGGGCCAAAGGCCAAGAAGGGCGACTCCGCCAGTGACAAAGCAAAGGCCACCGGCCCTGGGACCACCGGTGCCGTCCGTGC